TTCGAACCCACGCCCTTTCGGACTGGTGCCTAAAACCAGCGCCTTAGACCACTCGGCCACGCTGCCTGTAACATCTTCAATTCCCATTCTTATTTGTAATCCCTAAGGGTTGACGCACCAAGATTTCATCCTCCACAATAATTTACTATTATCTTAGTCGTCATTCTCTTCTTGATTATCATCCTTCACGCAATCTGTCCATCTCTTCCTTGCCATACTTCAAACCTTGGCCCTCCAAACTCATAACTAAAGTTTTTTTTTAAATATATCGACAATATTAACAAAGCTTGTAAAAAGGATTATTCCCAACCATTACCACTCTCTGCCTCACGTGAGAATAAAAAGTTTCATTCGTCCCACCTTTTAGTCCCACTATCAATAATAAGGTGACGGATGGAACCGTTATATAAAAAAGTTCCAACCGTCCCCTCGTCGCAATAGGTGGGACTGGCAAAATTTTTATTCTCATCTGTCTCTACGTGGGGACAGAGCGGGGTGACGGTTGGGAATAATCCGTAAAAAATGATTCATAAAGTCCTAGAGTTTACTTTTGTTGAGTGCAATAAAACATATTCTTTTATCCATCAAGCAGTCGTGCGAAAAAGAATTACGTAAATATCTGAGAATAAAGAATATATCTGGAAATTTATTTTTAAAATTAATATTCTATTTAGTCTAGACGTATTGTACGCGGTCTTTCTATAAACAGCCCGAGTTTGTGTAGGTTTTTATTTTTATTTAGTCTAGGTTTTTAGACTATTTTTAGCTTTTATGTTTTTAGATTTTTTGTTAGGTTTTTTAACAGTGGCTCGACCGGTGCAATACCACGACAGAAGACAAGCGTGAATTGGGAGCAATTCCGCTTTTCGTCTGATGAGTGTGGCCCAAATTTAGTCCCTTTTCCTTCCCACTCTTTTTCTTATATGAAAAGGATGGGAAGGGATTGTGGATTCGACGGTGAAGGAGAGGCATAGGAAGGTGAAATATCCTCTTTATGCGCGTCTCTTCCGTCGATCAAGGGTAGGCAATGCATTCACTATAGCGAATGTTTATGGGCAGCAGTCGCTTTGCCATTTTGGCGGATTCAGGTGGCCGCTTGCTCGTTTGCAACATTGTGATATAAAAAAAAATAGGTGAAGTAATTATTTTGTATCTAAAAAGCACAGAACAAGGTATAATATTATATAATATTAAAACTAGTATTGATTTACTATTATTGATTCTGTTTGTATTTTTGTTCAATTAGTTACTTGATTCATTTCTTTAATTAAGTTTTTTTCGTGTTTCACACTTGACCAGTCACTGAAGATTTAATTAAGTAGATAAAATTACTCTTTGTTGTTCTAAGTTTGTTTTCCGTTTGCCGAAGTTGTTGAATAGATGCCGACATTACTTAGTTCACGAATGCTTGTTAGAAACGAAAAGAAACTGATTGTAATATAAATTGACTCTTGTTGCTCAATCTATAACTTACATAATAGATCTTCAAGTTTGTAACATTTATTACTATTTTACGTCAGTTCATAATATCTCTAGTGAAAAAACTGGACATGTTTACAGTTTGACGGTCACATATAAATAAATCATTCACTTACTTCCTATTGAATTATTACTAACTAGCCTTCGCTTGCGGCTCCCTCCGAGTGGAATTAAAAAAACACAACAATAAGTACTCTGTTTTTCCAGACTATCCTCTACATCTATGCCAAAATTCATCGAAATCCGTTTAGTAGTTTCGACTACAAACTCTAACAAACATTTATCCATCCATCCATCCATCTAAACTTTCGCATTTATAATATTGTAGTTACTAGAAGTAGCTCTTAATAACAGCTCATTTGCAATAGATAATATTACAAAGGTAATATCTCCGACAATGTAACGTCATACTGGAGTTTAAAACTAGCTCAGTTCTGGGAATTAGTTCATAGTTCCAGTACCACTGGAGTACTGCGAACTCGTGTACAAAGGAATACCAACATTGTAATACAAGGATTGTATTAGTGGTTAAATGTACTACTTACGATCATTAGTTCGTGCACACCTTTGAAATAACTATCGCACAATTATTTAATCTCGCTTTGATTCCTGTAAGATTATATGGAAGTGCACACTACTCGATTTTTAGTTAAGCAATTAAACACTTGAATTGGCTGCGAAAATCGACAATCGCACAACAGTTGTGCGATAGTTCAGTCAAAGGTCTAAGTCTCAAAGATTTGAGGCCCGAGTTCCGCCGTCATCCGTTACTTTTGATATTAAAAAGGGGGATGAAATTGTTGTCATATGTCAGTGTCGAGTATTGAATGTGTTATATTACAAGGGATACGAAGTGGCAGGTTCATTTTGCATGCCATCAATATGATGGTTTCTTTTCATCATATTACTACGAGTAATTTTATTATTTTGACATAGAAAATACCATAAAAACAGTGTATTATATATTTAGAGCCGCTAGACTACTTTTAGCAGACCGCTAGACCAGTTACAATTTGTCTATGTTGGTTGCATTTTGCTCGTATTGCAAATGCCGAAAACTTCAAGCAGTAGGTAACGTCTTTTCGAATCAGAGTGTAAATATTTTTAGAATGCGTTAAACTGATTATTTAATTCTATCACGTCTCTCCGTCTCTAATTTAACTTGTTCAGTTCAATTAAATCTATACTTTTATACTTCTATACCAACATAATAAAGCGTAAACACACACTACTTTGTGGCGTAAGATATCAGCAATCAGAGCATACTTTTGAATAACTCTTTCTTTAATATAAAGCCCTACACTCACGTCACGCTTTAGGCTATATATGAATTTGCACGTCATTAAACTTAGGGCGTAAATATTTTTGATAAAAACCCTAATGTGGGAAAGAGACCATAAGTTGCTGCCGACATCAAGGAAGCAAGATTGCCAAGGTTTGTGACATGCATTTCACATTTGCAATTGTTAATTTGACAAATGTAAACAATGAAAAAAATGTTCATAAAGTCATGCGGATGAAGCCGCATAGTTTCCCGTAGGTAGTTGTTCAGCTAGTAGATATCTGCAGATGTTTAAACAAAAACGCGATCTATAGGAAGCGTTAAGATTAAACAGTGGGCGTGATAACAACTCGAATTATGATGTTAGATGAGGGGTCTGAACAAGCGGCGCGTCTTCCGCACTGTTCTGTGACTAAGGTGATAAATTTCATTTTTTTGTTATCATACGTGTTGAAAGGAACATATCGTATTAATGCCGTACTCAGAGAAGTTAGCTAGTCATTAGAGGGTCTTTGAGGGACAGTTAATATTAAAATCTTCTGTGAATTAATGGAAAAGTTTCGAGACTGGATTTTTTGATTCACCTGATTCTTCTCGTAGAATCTTATAGTGTGTATTAGTTTTTTTCCGTTATTTAGTATCACCTCTATACTTTCACTACGAGTGTAATATCAAAATCGAGCATGACAATAAATGTAGAAATATTTACGTTAACGCAAAGATCTGTGTACAATTTGTGCGCGAGAATCGTTCGACGGTTGCCAAATGACGGTGTCCGTAATTTTCCTGCCGTGATTTATGTAAGCGTGGAACAAAAGGTCCTCATTTGATGGTACAATGAATTTGATTCCAAACACAATCCGATGAAATGCGGCCTCGTTAAATTCCTCTCGACGAAATATCGTGGTCATTGCGGCAGAAGATGAAATGCCCAACTGCCATTTGTCTACGCAACCATTAAGAGTTTAACAAAATATATTGGGATCACAATATACCAAAAATGTATATAAATTGACAGAAATTGCAATACAAAATTGGTAATAGGCTATTGCCAACAGAACGGACTACCGATAGGTCCTAAAAGCCACGGACAAACAAAGCTAGCTTCCCGCAAGATGGATCGCTGGCTTGATCAAGTTTGTAATGCATTGGATGCTGGCAGCAATAGATATGATGATTTTAAGGTAATCTTTCTATTCTTTTGTAATCCATGTCTGTCTGTATGAACAAACTTTTTTCTTTTCGACTGAAATCAAGCGTTGGTGTGAACGGGAAATGTATTCGAAATATTTTGTTTTTTCAATGCGCGTAACAGCGTGCATGATTTTTTCAATTTCCAGTTTCGGTCCGATTCTCTCCATATAGCAACTGCTAACTGTTGGTTTAATCTAGCCCGCACCGGTTCGTACCGGTTTGCACCGGCTATAGCTCGTTTGCTTTCAATTTTTTTTCCGTATATTTTAGTTAGAGAAAAGTTGTCGCGGTTTTATTACGCAGTGCTGACGAGGGTTTTGTTAGGTTTTTGATTAGTTGTTGCGTTTGAACTAGGTTTAAAAAAAAGTTGTCCAATCATAAAATGTTGGATTCTCAATATTGTCTGTAACAGTACATGGTTACCCGTAAACCTAGAAGCATCATCAAAAACTAAGTTCTACATAGATGTGGAATACATCCACATTCCTTTTTATATTTTTTTTCATACCATAAAATACAAATTCTCTTTATAAAAATAAAATAAATGTTTGCATGCCTTTGCCTAAGTTTATTGGATAGTTTTTGACGAAACTGTAGTAGTTAGGATATTCCTGGAAGCCTTTTAATAGAATTTTTAAAGTCGTTGCAGCACACGTCCGAATGAACTCGGATTTTTTTAATTAGCTGAAACTAAATGAAAATATCGGTTCTATTATAAACTTCTTTAACATATTTTGTAGCCCATTCATTCATATCTTTATATTCAGATAAGGACTCTTTTGATCTTCGTGTCACTGAGAATAAACACTGATCTATAAAATATAGATAGGCCTTTTACTTATAAAAGTGTTTCGTTCCTACACCAACGCGTGTTGATGATATTATCAGTTTGATATTTGTTATTAGTTCGAATTCTTACCACCGCTATCAAACGTAACAATCAGCGCCAAAATGGCGCAATTCAAATAGGCACAATACTACGCCTATAGCCTGTCCATTTAGTAGAGGCCAGTGCAACTGTCAACTGATTGTTGAAAACAACAAATGTCAATAAACATGACTAAAATTCAAATACTGGGACCATCTAAACTGCAAACTAAAATGTAATTATTATCAACAAATGTGAGGATTCTAAAAAAAAATAAGTAAAAATTGCTCGAAGCCTGAATTATGGTTGTTATGGTTTAGGTGAGTTTGTTTTGATGTTTTTGCTTTGAAAAATAAACCGTATTTTTCTAAAAATGTAAAAAGGTTAAATTTTACATATCGTATTTTACGTTTTAAACAAAATCTAGTTATTTATTTGACTACGTAATTCTGAGGAAATTATTTGTTTTTTTGTGTATTCTTGTGTATTCCAGATAAGATATGAAATGCTTAAATTTATTGGAATGGGGGTATTTTGGTCCATTCGTCATCGCAGTTGTTTTATTTCTTCTCATAGGAACCATGTTCCAGCAGAGAGCAGAAGATTTTATTCAACGCAGGAGTAAGTACATCCATATGGTACTAACGTAAAGAGGAAAGATTTGTATATATTTTTTTCTTTATAATATAAGGTGGCAAACGAGCAAGCGGCCACCTGAATCCAATGAAATGTTAAGCGACCGCTGCCCATAAACATTCGCAATTGCAGATGCGTTGCCTTCCCTTAATTGACGGAGGAGGAGACGCACATAAAGATTTTCCTTTCTATGCGTCTCCGCCAATGTCAAATCGAACCGTATTTTTTGTATGTATTGAAATAACTCAAATTTCACCATTAAAAAGCTACCATGTCAGTGAGTCATATAAGCTATGTGTTTTATTTTTTTTTAATTCCAAGCGGGCGAAATCGTAAGCAATAGCTACTTTGAAATATTTTGAAACATTACTTTAAAAATAGTACTACATTTTATTTTACATGTTTTGTTTGTATTTATCTATATATAACATCATTTGGAAAAGAAAAGAATCGCATATAAATAACAAGGAGAACGTTAGTTATGTGTAGAGTTTCACCGGTAGAGGTAGACCTAGAAATAGATGGGTGGATTAAAAGGTGACATGATCAAGAAGGAAGTATTTTTTTTATAACATGAGATGGCAAACGAGCAAGCGGTCATCTGAATCCGCCAAAATGGCGAAGCGACCGCTGCCCATAGACATCTGCAATTGCAGATGCGTCGCCTACCCTTATCCGACGGAGGAGGAGACGCACATAAAGAGGATATTTCCTCTTCCTATGCATCTCCTCCATCGTCAAATCCACTTCCCCTTCCCATCCTCTCATAAGAAAAGGGTGGTAAAGAGAAAGGGACTTAAATTAGGCCTCCGGCACCACACTCATCAGACGAAACACGGCATTGCTTCCATTTCACGCCTGTCTTCTGTGTGGTCTTGGTATTACACGAGGCGTACCGGCCCATTCGTGCTAAGATGTTAAAGCGGGCACTACCACTGTTAATGATGATGTGATGACTGATATGACGTATGATAGATAGATATGGAGAACGAAAATCTAGTTCGCTGTTTCTACGTAAGTAGGATAAGAACAGAGAGAAGATAATAGTTTCGATGTTTAAAAAAGACCGCGAACCCGCGTAATATTAAGCGATGATGAATTCATTCTCTACTTCTTCTTCGGATTAATGAACCCAATTACTTGCATTTTGATACAAAAATTGTTACTTTTAATTTCTATACGTGTTTTAATAAATTTCTTCTTTGCAGTAGAACGTCGAAGACTACTATTCCAAGTTAATGCTGGAGCTCTCACAGATTTCACAACGAACACTCCTAACACATGTGCAGTATCCGCGTAATAGTGAACATTGTAAAATTTATTCAAATTAAATATATTTGCTGATTTTTTTTGTTATTTTATTAATATCAAAGGGTCACACCTACTTGATCACCTATCTAGCAATACCAACACGATCGACATGAATTATTAAAGAAGAGAAGGAAAAGATTGATGTTTGTAACTAATAAACTCAAAAACTACTTAGCTGATTATAAAAATTTTGTCATCATTTGAAAAGGTAACCTGCATTTTTTGTTGTAAATGCATATCGTTGTTTAAAAAGCCAATTGTAATTTCATAAACTACAAATATATCGTAGCTATTATTGTTTCACTTTTTAATAAAATAAAAAGGTCATTGTAGCGGTTATCTTATTAATATTATAAATGTGAAAGTTTAGATGTACGGATGGATGTTTGTTAGAGTTTCCAGCTTAAACGGCTGAACGGATTTCGATGAAATTTGGCATAGATGTAGAGTATAATCTGGAAGAACACATAGGCTGCCCAGTTTTGTTATTTTTTTTAATCTCGCGTGAATGGTGTCGCGGGCGAAAGCTATAAGAATATAACATTATTTGGTTAAAATCTTACTAATAATATAAATGCGAAAATTTAGATGGATGGATGTTTGTTAGAGTTTCTAGCCTAAACGGCTGAAGGGATTTCGATGAAATTTGGTACAGATGCATATGATATCCTGGAAGAATACATAGGCCACTCACTCTTATTTTTTAATTCCGCGCGGACGGAGTCGCGGGCGAAAGATAGTAAGAATATAAGTATTGATATCGATTTAGTATGAGTATTGTATTAACGACGTTTCATTTCATTGGATTGCCTGCGGAGTAGAGTTCGTTGTACTAAAAATGAGTTACATTTTGTACTCGTTGTTATAAATTACAAAGAAAACGTTACGTGTAATATTTAAGGAATTACAAGTTTTTGTTATTGAAATAAAAATTATTAAGATGAATGAACTTTTCAATCTTTTCTTTAATTTTGTAACAAAATGGTTTTTAATTGAACTTTACAGGGTTTTTAAAAGTAAAATAATATGATGGGAATAATAAATTTAATAAGGTCGTAATATCAAGTCTGTTTAGTAGTCTGAAATAAACATTTAGAGCGCGCGCACAACTTTGACTAAACTATCGCACGATTGTTTAGTCGCCCTTTGATTTCTATGAGCTTACATGGAGCTGTTCGATGTTTAGTTGTGCTACCAAACAATTGAATTGGCTCTGTAACAATCGACAATCGCACAATAGCGCGATATTTTAATCAAAGGTGTGCGTCCGCTCTTATACAGCCAGTACCATTACCTGCATACGATTTAAAGCATCAAAGGGTTGCACAAACACAACACATATAACATGACAATAGTTCTTTCGTTATATTTGGAAGGCTCTCAGGGAACCTCCGCGACGTTAAGTGCTCGTAAATTGTAAGCCTCCGCGAAGATAAGGGGTGTGCTTCAACGTTTCTACTGCAAGTAACGTTATTGATACGCTTTATGTTGTTTGATTTTTATTAACTTTCTAGCTTTCGCCCGCGATTCCGTTCGCGTGGAATTAAAAAACAAAACTGAGTATTCTATGTGTTCTTCCAGACTTTCCTCTACATCTATATCAATTTTCATCGAAATCCGTTCAGCAATTTAGGCTGCAAACTCTAACAAACATTCATCCATATAAACTTATGCATTTATAATATTAGTATGAAGTATGATTACTTGAAGTAACTACATAACCATCTAAACTTTCAAACCATATGGTTAAAATAATTATAAACGAGGTACATTAAGAGAGCGTCGGTGGCTCAGTGGTTTGAACACTTGACTTGTAATCTACAGGTCTAGGGCTCGAATCCCGCCATGTACCAATGTGATTTTCGATTTTTCGAATATTCATATGTACATGATTTACCCGACGTTCTTACGGTGAAGGAAAATCGTGATGCAACCTGCACATATCAGCGAAGAAATTCAAAGATATGTGTGAAGTCAACCAACCCGCAGTGGGCCAGCGTGGTTGACTATGGCCTAGTCACCCCATATTAGGGTAGGCTCCGAGCCCCTCGGTGGGGACGTATAGTGAGCTGGTGATGATGTGATGAGGTACACTAAACTATTTTTTTTCTCACCGGTACTTTCTCTGAAAGGTACTATATCAGTTGTCAAGTATGGTGACACCTCGTGTTCGTATTGATTTGTAATAAAACATTTTACAAAGTCATAATAATTTCGATTATTATTATTAATATTATAAATGCGAAAGTTTATACAGCCGGATGGGTGGATGGATGCATGTTTGTAGCCTAAACGGCTGAATGGATTTTGATGACATTTGTTACAGATGTAGAAGATAGTCTGAAATAACACACAGGCTACTCACTTTTTTTTTAATCCCACGCGGATGGAGTCATGGGCGAAAGCTAGATTGTTATAAAATAAACATGATAACAGATGGCGTTAGTGGTTCATGTGAAAAATGTCTCAAGCGACGTGTCAACTATGCCCCCTCTATATATATTTGATTCTATTTGGGTTAGAACAAACAAATGCATAACGCTACAATTATCTCTCCATACATGTCAAACTTGGGTAGGCTCGGTGATTTTCCTCCAATCAGTTAAAACGAGCTATAAGATTATTACTAAAGTGAATCGAAAGCTCTTTCAACAGATGAACTTGCTGCCGGATTTGCTAAGATACCGTTGAATTCGTCTCAGTTTGTTAAGGAACTGAGTAATCAAACGATTTATAACAAGTCTAAAGCCCTTTGGTATCCTGACCACCACTAGATGGAAACCAATCAAATTACTTAGATATTGACTAAGGTTTACACTTCCATAAATTCTTGTAGTCTCACATCGGGAACACTAATTTTGTGTGTTTGCTCGTACAGGAACAGACCACGTGCGTGTAAAGCATCACTTTACATGATGCGTGTTTCTTTGAGTTCATAACGGTTTTTACAGGAGCTACGAGTAATCATTAACTACCGCTTTCTACTCGTAGAATGGTCTGTCTGTCTTGTCGGTACTTCCAATCTTAGGGAGCTGTCTTACCTCAAAAGCCGGCAGTTTGGGTCTTATAAAAACACCTGCAATTGCCTTACCGATGATGTTGCCACTGCTTTCTAATAGTTTTGTTTTGATGATTGGATTAATATCTATTGTTCCTCTTAATATCAAGTGAGATCGTGGAGTAGTTTTTTTTTAAATTAAAAATGTGCGTCTTGTTTCTTTATTACTGCGAGCAATATGAACTCGCTTGATACTTCATCATCAACTTGCCCTTATCCCTTCTGGAGAGTCTATGTGCTGCTCCATACATCTCTATCAGCCGTCATATCTGAATCCACTCCTTTCTTAAGCATATCCTTTTCACACAGTCCATCCATTTTTTCTTCGGTCGTCCTCTTCCTTTGTAGACATCTACATTCATTCATAACTCGCTTGATTATGTTATAAATATTGTCGGTTTGAAAAAAATAAGTCTAGAAAATATATTTTAATGTAGCCAAGGAATACATTAAACAATAGCTGGCACTCGCCGTGTTGGGAGCCTCTTTGAAAACTCGCGAAATAAAGTGGCCATAAATTATTCGGCGTCGAGGTGATAGCGGTTCTTTACACTGAAATATTATTTATATACGCCTTTGTTACACTAGCTACAGTATTTCAGGGTTTAAGTCTTTAACATGTAACGCTTTATAGGCACCAAGGCCAATGTCTACTGGATTTTATGTGTCGAGTATTACTTAAAGTTTACGATAATATTGAGGGTAAAGATGTATTACTATAGTAATTAAGCAACTAAGTTGGTAATACGAATTTTAACACAGGTATGTAATACTTGCGGAAGAGTTACGAAAAACCAGTATATATATAAATAAAGTAAAAAGCATAGAAATAATCTATACTATTATAATAAACCGTAAACACACACTTCTTTGTTGCCTAAGATGTCAGCAATTACAGCATGTTTTTGAATAATTCTTTTTTTTAATAAAAAGCCCTACACTTACGTCACGCTTTAGGCTATATATTTTCACGCCACTAAACTTAGAAGGTAAATATTTTGAATCAAAACCCTAATGTGGGAAAGAGGCCATAAGTTGCCAACATCAAGAAAGTAAGATTGCCAAGGTTTTTAATGTCATGTCGTTTTGAAATTTGCAATTGATAATTTGACATATCTAAATAATAAAATAAAATTTTCATAATTTCACGGGGATGAAGCCGCACGGGAACAGCTAGTATAATATAAGTATGGTAAAAAAGATAACTGTAGTCAATTTCATAAGAAACTGGCACAATTACCAAGGATGAAAAGAGGTGTAAGATAATATAACAATGAAGAAATTAAAGAGACAGTAAAATTCAAAACAAACTAAAAAAACATTGGTTCAAAAAGAAAAACCTGGAAGCAAACAAGGACTCTGACCATCTATGTTAGAGGAGCACAAGAAAAAAAAAATCAGTAATATTAGTATTAAGGCTGCTGGGAGAGCCGAACATCCTAGGCGAAGTCAAAGCCCAGAGACTTCGCTGGCGGGCCAATTGTTGAGAATGGGGGAGGATCGTGGAGCCAAAAAAGCGTATCTTGGAATACCGATTGGCCGCCGACCCGTCGGTCGGCCCAGATACCACTGGCGAGACGCCGTAGAGCTGGACCTGCGCGAGCTAGAGTCGATCGGCTGGCAGGCGACGACGCAGAACAGACGACGCTGGCGCTCTCTCGTGTCGGAGGCCAAGACCCACTTCGGGTCGCTGCGCTAACGCAGTAAGTAAGTAATATTAGTAATACCATAACAATACAGGTTAGTCTACAGTAATATTTGTTTTATGAGCAGAAATATTTCGAGTTTGTTATTTTATTTCATTCTATACTTCTGTTGCAAGAATTAGCAATAGTTAGTTTAATGTAAGGGTAGAGGGTAGTTAATAGGGGTGGGCTGCGCTGTGATTTGTTACATGCCGATTGTTTTTGTTGTGGGAAATGCTCGTGAACGGAATTCTAACAACGTTAACGAGCTTACTTTCTCCTTAACGTTTTGTTG